GGCTACTCTCTCCAGCCGGAGGCAGGCTAGTAACTCGAGCAAGTAACTGCGGCGCTGCCGAATACTTCCGTAACCATGAAAGAAACGCGTTAAGCGACGCGCTCTTGCTCTTGCTCGGGTCGCTGAGTGCGCGCACGCGCATAAGAATCCAACTCTTAATTAACAGTGTAAATAACTCAGAATGCATGAAATGACATTACCCCCGTTAAGCGCAGCATATTGCAACAACAGCGTGTTGCCAGAGACAACGGATAAGTACCGCACATGCATGAACTAGCACAAGCATTTAACTGAAAACAACTTAAGGCTATCTGTGTTGCTTGGGCTCATTAACAACACGCATGTTGCAGATAACCTGAGAGCATTAAATGGAACTTAGCCTGTGAAGATGTTCCAGAGAGTGAAGCATAGCAGCTGTGAAGTGGATGCTTGATCTCTTGATATCCTTTTTGGGGATGAAGTTCCAATCTGAACTCGTTCTTGAGTCAGTCACATAACTTCTGGAGTCCATGACAATAATGTAGCGATGCGTGAAATAATGCTAACTCAGTCACTTTCAAATCAGGCAACTTATAATCAATACGGTGAATTCACGTGTTCAAGTTAATGGGGATCAGCTGAGAGTCAGCTGATGCGAGCTTGACTAACATGACCTGCCAGAACTAGCGCTATGCTTGATTTCAAAGTGCTTTACATAAAAGAAAAGAAAATCATAATAAAAAACTAGATAAAAAAGTTTGTCAAGTCAAACTTTAGGTTGGCTTGAGAAAGCCTAGCATGAAAGTTTAAAGTAGTTGTAAAAGCTTAAAGTTTAAAGGTTTTCAGTTTGAAATAGACTAATTAAGTTGTAATTTACTCGTTTTTAAAAGCTAAAAACCAGCTAAAACCAGCTCATTAAATTGAAAACCAGATAAAGACAGATAGATAGATAGACAGATAGATGTATTTTTGTTGCTACAAATCCAAATTAAGTGAGCTACTCAAATTATGGTGAGCTACAAATTATTATTTACTAATTTGTTGTAATGTATTTTATGTTACACTCAATTTTTCAATTTTATCAGTGAGCATATTTTAAAATCATTATAGCATTTATAGCAACAACTCGTAAGAAAAGCTAGTGTTGCGAGAGACACGCATTGTCACAGTAACCAAAATCGACAGAAATGCATATTCAAGACAAGGGGGTAAGAAAATGCCCCCTACACAATCTAAATAAATCTAATACGACTGTCACTTTTGAAGTGAAATGTGAAAATAAATTAAATGTGTTGTGGTATTACAGTTGCTCACGAGGCGTGCAAGATGACTTTTTATGGGTTTTTTTTGTTGTTGTTGTTGAGCTTTACAACCAATCACACACGTCTCTGTTGAGGTCATGATGCAATAACCAATCAGATGAGTGTAAAATAGTTAAGAAAAATGCAGCATTCGATATGTATATAGGTATGTTTAGGCTGTTATAAATGTTAAAAAAATCATTCATATATTATAGAGTTGTTTGGGGTTGGGATAAATTAAACGCGATCTGCGATGACGTCACAATCGTGTTGCATTGTGGTCTATGGAGTGGCCTGAAGTGTGCATATGAAGGAGACTCGCTCCACGTCATAATCGTGTTGCATTGTGGTCTATGGAGTGGCCTGAAGTGTGCATATGAAACAGACTCGCTCCCTCGGTCAATACGAGGGGTTGAGGGTCTGTCCATATAAACTTCCCTCGTCCACTTCATGAAGTGGAACGCACTTCAAAATGGCGGCGGGGATTCCCCAGAGCGTCTAAAAGTGAACTGGAACGCAGCCCATGTGCTCAGCTCAGCCACACTCTGTCTCTGACTGAATACAGCAAATTTTCTCGTGGAAAACTGCAGATACAATGCAAGTAAGATATTAATTTATAATCCTTTTGTTTTTCATGCTACTAAAATAACAATGGGTCTCATTCACTAATAATTGCGTACGTTTTTCGTATTTATACGCACATTTGACCTTCTCACGAAAACTTTCCGGCTAATTCACAACACGTGCGTATGCACATGAGCTTGTTCTTCTGTTAGTGAATTTTTGAGTCTTCTAAATGAGCCCAAACCAGCTCCATATAAGGGCTTTCCGCAAAGCGGCACTCGTCCAGAAAAAGACAATTATGGCACCGAAACAAAAGACAAAGAAAAAGAACTTTAACGATAATGAACGTGAGGTTTTGCTGTCGGAGGTGGAAGTCAGAAAAAATGTGCTATTTAAAAGTGTATCCACTGGCGTAACGGGCACAGGTAAAAAAGAAGCATGGGATACGGTAACACAAGCCGTTAATGTGGTTTCACCAGAAATTCGGACGGTTGCCGAAGTTAAAAAAAAAGTGGTTTGACATGAAGTTCAAGGCCAAAAGAAGAATTTCATTTCAACAGAGGAAAAAAGACAAGGGTGGAGGGCAGGGGGCACCTGATCTGTCTGCCTTCGACGAAAGAATGGCTGCAATTATAGGACAGTCAAGCTTGAGTGGCATTATAGAAAGGAGTGAGGGTTAGAGTGACCTAATACAGGAGCAATTACAACACGGTAATTTGCTTAAATCAAAATCTTTATTTGAAGGAATGTATTCAAGTAATCATCATAACTCAAAACTTCCGGCTTTTGCAGAACATCCACAGACAGCAGATGTAAATGAAGAAGCTGAAGTCCAGCCGTCTACTTCCCAATCCACTCGTTATACCCCTTCACAGAGGCGCACCGGCGCACAAGTCCTGACCGACGAGGTGCTCGCTAGTCAAGATGCCCCCATCCTTGCCGTTAAGGACGTGGCAGCTGGCCTACGGGAAATAAATGAGTCACTGAATAAATTGATAGCATTGCTTAGCAGTCACAGAAGTGCATAAATGTGAATAAATATATTGTGGCAAAGTTCTGTTTTCTGATGTGTTTTAATATTCCCTAAAACTTTTTTGCAATCGTTAAAAGCACTTTTACAAATTCCATTTGCTCAATTATAGAATGTGCACTGCAGCAAACTACAAAAGCTATTTAAAAAAAATAGAATGAGATTATATACCATTATAAACGTTGTATCAACTGAAGGCGTGCTTAAAGCGCTGCTTGGGCTGGCGCGTGCATCTCGTCACCCACAGGTTCCGGCTGTGCGTGTGGTCCATAAGGAGCAGGTCCACCCCGTGCCATTGCGATGTTGTGCAGTACACAACATGCTAAAACAATCTGACAGATTTTGTCTGGCCTGTATAACAGCATTCCACCAGCTGCATCCAAGCACATCCAACGGGATTTGAGTAACCCGATTGTGCGTTCTATCACTGAGCGCGCACGGGCATGTTTCAGGTTGTAGCGCACTTCTTGAGGGGTCGTTGGGTTGGCTAGAGGTGGCATGAGCCATGTTTTGAGACCATAACCCCTGTCACCTACAACAAGCATCATGATAATGAACCTTTATTTAAATGAACTAAAAATATTCTGGGCACACTTCTACTCACCAAGAAGCCATCCCTCTTCACCAACCCC